ATTCCAGATGTACTTCGACATTCGAAGAAATTAAACTTCGGAACCACATTGATTGCTGGTTTGGCCACATTGAACGGGCAGTGGTGTAGTATCGACTGAAACTATTTACAATATTTTTGAGGAAAATATCGCTAAATTCGATGAAAACCCACCGAATTTCCGATGAGCGTCAACCAAGTGTTGGTGCCAATCGAATTCCACACGCGGGCCATGATGCTGACTTTGTTGTGGCGATGCGCGCTGCCTGCGGCGTCCACGACTCTGGCCCATGCGAACCGCCCAGTCACCTTTGCCTGCGCGGAGACTGTGCGCTTTGCAGCACGCCAGTTCTCTTCCAACTACGGCTCCCCGTCCGAGACTCATTCCAAGTCGTCTATCGTGTGGGTAGGAGGGTTGCCGTATTCGGCGACAGCTTCCGACATGATGCAACACTTTGGCGAATTCGGAACGATCAAAAGAATCCAAATGCAGGCAAACGCCATCGGTTCCCCCAAAGGATCGTGCTTGATCACATTTTCGTCGCCGGCGGAAGCAGCGGCGGCTCTTGCGATGGATCGACACACCATCGGCTCGCGGTGGATGGCGGTCAAGCTTCACCGGCAAAAGAACTCGGTTGAAAACGCCCCCGTGATCAAGCCGTCTTCGACAATCTGGATCGGTGGCTTGCCTTTCAAGACCTCCGACGCCGACATCCACGAGCGCTTTGGGAGCTTTGGTTCGATCTCCAACGTCAGATTCACAGAACGGTACGACGGCAAGCCCACTGGCATGTGCTACGTCACGTATTCGGCGCCCGAGGCGGCGGAAGCGGCCGCCGCCTCGATGAACAAAGCCACGTTCGGATCGCGCTACGTCCACGTTAAATTGCACTTCGACCAAGGAACAATCAAGCCGCCGAGGAAAGCGGACGATCAGGTGAAGACGGTTCGACAAGATCAGGTAAACCGCGTGTACTTTGGCAACATTCCGTTCACAACGACGGAAACGGAGCTGGCTGAGACCTTTGCCTCGTGCGGCGATCTCAAGGACGTGTTAATCTACCGCGACAAGAACCATCGGTCCCGCGGCCACGGCTACGTTCAATTTAAGGATGCCGGCAGTGCTGCCGCCGCCGTGCGCGACCTCCATGGCACAATCGTCGGTGGACGGGAAATGTCGGTGGAAGTGCCCAAGGCGATGCGGGCTGCGGTGGCCGCTGTCGCCACGTCGACCACCGTTCGTGTCACAAACCTTCCCGTCGATCTCGAAAACGACACACTTCGCTCGATGTTTGACCACTGCGGCGCAATTTCGCACCTTCGCCGGGCCAGCGACAACCAGTCCGCGCTGCTTGTGTTTGACAGCCCTGAAGGTGCACAAGAAGCGCAAGGACTGGCGGGGGCCGACATCGAAGGTCGTGTCATCCACGTCCAGCTCACAGAAGAGAAAGATGAATAGCGTAGGCACACAGGCTCGAGTAGACAGCAATGCATTGCAATCGAGTGCACATTGTCCCGTTGTATTTGCTGTCGTGGGGCCCATCGTTGCCCGCTTCAACCGACCAGGTCTGGAGGCATCGATATTGTACGTTTCGAACGTTGTGTGGAGAGCGAGATGCAGTTAGTCGAACACGTTGAGCCGACGAGCCAAGACGTTGTGGTGCTGGCCTTTCTTGCAACCCTCTCGATGCCGTCACTCTCGCGCACGGATTGTGCAGGTAGAAGCTGGTTCAGACGAGCGAGCTCGGTGGGGTCCTTCTAAAAGCCGCGCATCTCGTTCGGCGTCTGCGAAAGAATGACTTGGCCGTCCACCTCGATGATGTTACAATCTCTGAATACCAGCTCCCGAGCGCGACGGACTCTTCCCTCAAGATATTGATAGAGCCACACCGACGAATGGCTTTGCACGGCCGGAAGAGAATGCTTGAGGCTCTGGTGGCACCATCCCTTCGACTGGTGCAGTCGACGGTGGTCAACGTGACTTGTGTCTGTTGTGTCTGGTTGTGATCCTCTCCGGATATTTCCGCAACTTCATCCGGAAATTCCGTGGCGCCTTTCACCACCCAAATCGACAAGAATGCTGCGCGCAGTGACTGCCCACCTGGGACGTCGACCATGCGGCGCGGCCGAGCCGCTTCGCCCTTTGGGCATCATGAAATTTGCAACGAAGCCGTCAGCGTCACGTCCCAAGAGCGACCGGTCCGTTTATGTTGGCAACTTGCCACACACGTGGACGGAAGAAGATGTCAAGAAGGCTTTCCAACAAGTTGGGCCCATCGATAAAGTTCACATGGCAAAGGACCACGAGACAAACCAGTTTCGCGGTTTTGCATTTGTCGAGTTCGTCGACCCAAGTGATGCTGCCAACGCTGTTGAGTTCGGCGCTAAGTTGGGCAAGAAGAAGTACCTGGTCAAGCCATTCGTGCCGCCTCCTCCAAAGTCGTCTCCTCGGCGAAACACGTCGTCCAGATCGTCCTCGACCAGCCTTCCATCTCGCGCGGTGGGTGACGCGTCCCCGATCGTCTATTTTGGCAATCTCCCATTTGGTGGATCCGACGACGACGTTGTTGACCTCTTCTCCAAGTGTGGTCCCATTAAACACATTCATTTAGTGAAGAACTCCGCGGATCAGTCCCGAGGCTACGGGTCCGTCGAGTTCGAAGACACGGTGTCCGTGGCGGCCGCGTTGGCATTGGCTGGTCGCACCGACGTCACACGGACAGAACACAACCGTCCACTCATTGTCAAACTTCCCCACCAAACTAAGCTCAACGTGCCGTCGACCGTCGTGCTCTTGAAGGGTGTGTCGCCGAACACGACGGAAGAAGCGGTGGAAGCAGCAATCCGCGCCACCGGCGCGAAAATCGCCCATGTGCATCTGCAAAAAGACAACGAGACCAAAGAGCCCCGGGGCAAGGGGTACGTGATCCTGCACGACGCGGACAGCGTCGAGAAAGCCATCACAGTTACCCACATCAACGGCAACAAGATCGAAATCACCATCTCCCACGACTTTAAGAACAAGCCCAAGACGCTGTTCGTGGGGAACCTGCCGGACAACGTGACGGAGGAAGACATTCGGGACGTCTTCGCCACGTGCGGCCCCATTTACCAAGTGCGCCTGGCGCAGCACCCAGGGTCATCTCGAGTGTTTGCCCATGTCCAGTACGCATCGTCAGCTTCGTTGATCGCAGCCCGGCGCATCGAATCCCCGACCATCGGCGGACGCAAGCTGTATTTGCAAGTTGCAATGGACGAGTAAGCGCGGTAGACAGTCACAAACGTGTCGCACGTAATATTAGGAGATTTGCAGCAGCAAGTGTATTCAATTTCGCGAGCTCCCTTTCTTTACACGCGCGAGAAGAGATACCTCTGCATGCCTCCCGGACCCGAAGCAGCCCTTGTGCATGCTTCAGTGTTCGCTTGCGTCGCCAGCAGCCTCGATGGCCATCGATCGCCCGAATTCTTCGCTTGTCGATCTTCGCTACGATTAAATGCAGAAATTTGCGGCATTCGGATTGGCCAAATCAATCGGCATCCGGATAAACAGTTGAACTGCGATGAACCACCACTTCTTCACCATGCACCACGCCTTGTCGACGCTCGTGCAGCGCGCCGCCGCGCGCTCTCTGCTTCGTCCGTCACAATTGACGCGTCCACTTGGGTGCATGAGGCTATCGTCTTTGACGTCGGCCCCAGAACCTCCTTATCGCGTGTATGTGGGAAACCTGTCGTACCGGGTGACGGAAGGCGACCTCGCGTCCATCTTTTCGAATTGCGGCAACATCGTGCACGTGAACATCGTCAAGAACAGCGTAACCCTTCAGTCCAAAGGATTCGGGTTCGTCGAGTTTGATGCCCCAGAGTGCGTCGACGAAGCGCTCCGTGTCGGTGGAACCGTGGCCGCCGGCCGCCTGCTGGTTGTGAAACCCGCCACCCCTTCGCCCGCCGACACGTTTGCCAAGCACATTCCGCCTCCGTCGTCGCCTCCCAGTTTAGGACCAAACCCATCCAAGGTGTATGTTGGTAACCTCACGTTCACCAAGAACGAAGCCGATATTGCGGAACTCTTCCACGCGTGCGGCCCCATCAAGCACTTGAATCTTGTTCGTGAGGCCGACACGGGCCGATCCAGGGGATTTGGATTTGTCGAATTCGAGTCTCCTTCTTGTGCGCAAGTGGCGCTGCAGCTGCATGGCGCGACCATCGACGGTCGCACGCTGATCGTGAAGGAGACCTTGTTACCTCACACGCCCGTTGTGACCCATGTCCCCGACACCGTGTATGTGTCGAGGTTGCCCGAGAACGTGCTCGAGTCGGACCTGCGAGACATGTTTAGCCACTGCGGCACCATCGACTCGGTGCGCATCTCGCACTCGCCCGACTTTTCCCAAACGTTTGCCCATATCAAGTTTGCGTCAGTCGACAGTGTCGAGCCAGCGATGCAGTTGACTGGCGCCGATTTTGACGGCGAGGTGGTTGTCGTTCAAAAAGCCATGCGTCGCACGTCGAAGCCTTAGTGTGCCTTTTTCAAATCTCCATTTAATAGACTGTACTGCTGCTTCATCATACACCACTGACGTCCCGTTGCCGGCACGATTGGACGTCCCACCAGGCGGCAACCCACATATTTCGAGCTGCATGCGTCATCAAGTGCCTGGCGATAAGGAGAGTTGATCTCGGCAATCTGCGCTGTTCAAGGACAAGACCGTCAAAATGGCCATGCGTTGTTCACATGGCGTACGAGGTCACAACAGCGTTGGATCTTTGATGGTTGAGAATTCGATGGGCAGATTTGAACCTGCGGCGTCAAGGGTCATGCTTGGTGTGTGGGTGGTGGGCATGTTGAGGTCTTGCACTGGGTTGGATAGGTTCTGTGGTGGTGGGACAGTAATCAGGGCGATGCGCTTCTTGGCCTTTTTGGCCAGTCGTGGCGAGGCTGGAGTTGACTCCGTTGAGGTGGCCGATGCTGCCGATGGAATGATGTCGTCGGCTGCAAAGGAAGGAGCTGCGAGGGTCAACACGTCATGTGGCGCTTCCTTCGAGAGACAAGGTGTCGTCGGGCTACCGCTCGTTCGACTTCGCTTGATGCCGATCGAATTTTGGACTGGGTTCGCTGACACCTCCACAACATCGCAGTCGTCGTCGTCGTCGATCGTGAGGTCGACAGTTGCAGGAATTGATGGCGCCGCCTCAATCACCACATTCTGTGCCACCTGGATTTCATCTAGTGCGTAGTGGAATTTCGCCACAGACGGGGCAGCGTCCCCATGAGTCTCGGGGGCGGTGGTGGAAGAGTCATTGGTTGGCGACGGTCGTTGTGTTCGCTCGAGCTCGTCCGCCTTGGCCTGTTCAGCCGTGTAATGTTGAAACAACTTGTGCAGGTCCGACTCGAGAGAGGTTTTAAATCCGTTCTCGGCTTCGATGGCGCGCGTGGCCGCGATGAAATCGGCGTCAAACGCGGCGGTGTGCTCGTCCAGAAATCGTTTCCACCCCGCCAGAATCGTTTGCTTGACTTGCGATGCATCGGGCACGACATCGGGGGTCGCGCCGGTCTCAACCATGTCGTCGATTTCGTCTGCATCGTCGTCGTCCAGCCGTGAAGGCGACACATCATCGGTTTGCGCCACTTGAGGGAGTTCCTCCTTGACATGAAACACTCCAAACAATTGCGACGTTGTCGCCAGGTCGGCCTCCGTGAGCTCGCTGTCGTCGACTAGGTCATTGTCTTCGCACTGTAAACATCCTGTTTGCTTGCCGTCGTATGCTTCTGCACACGAACGATGGTAGACGCCGTCGCAATCGGGACATTGCACTCTCGAGGTCTTGACGCCGTCAGGAGCTTCGCGACATTCGCAGATGAAGCATGGCTCGTCCGGAACTGGCCTCCTCCGCCGCCGCTTGGCGTGGTATTCGTCATCGTCGGTGGCATTGCCGTCGCTCCGTGTGAGATCGACACAACAGTCGTCGTCGTCATCGTCCACACTGCTCTCGTACTCGCTGGCGGCGTAATCGTCGGGGTTTTGAAGGAAATACATATCAATATGGCCGAAATACGGACTAGGGGCAGCTTTCTTCTTTGCCAGAGTCTTCGTTTTCGGTCCCAGGGCGGCCCCGGCAGGACGATTCTTGGCATTGTCTGACGATGCAGTTGGCGTATCAGCAGTACTCGCAGATTGCAACAGTGTTACGATTGGAAAGTCGTTGGGTCGAAAGCGACATCGTGCAAATGTTCGCGAAAGTAGCACGCCACGTTCGTCGGGCACTGCTTGAAATATGCCATCGCCTTCCGTTGCAACGACTCGTGGGTCATCTTCACGGAGATCGTCCGATACGTCGTCGTCCGACGACTCTGTGTCGTCGCTGATCTCTTCGGCGTCTTCAATTTGCTTGAGTCGCTGTCGTTCTCGCTCTTCATCCGACGACAGAACTTCGACGATTGCCGCTTCCGTAGACTTGTTCTTGAGTTTTCGCGATCGCAGGGTCGTTCGTGTCGCACCCAGACTCAAGGATAGCGTGATATTGCACCGGTCGCACCATTTGGATTCTGTGGCAAAGATGGGGATGTCGCATCCGCTGCATCGGGCGTTCCCTCGACGGCGCATACTCTCAACGTTTCCCGCGACAGATCCCGCCCGACACGTTCGGCAAAAGCGTTTTAAGATATTAAAACGTCTCCTCTCTTCATCTTAAGCAACTATGGTATAATTTAGTTACGTATA